CCCCCCCAGCCCCCTCCTCGCATACCCTCTTACTTGCTAATTGTCACGTGTGTGTGTGTGTGTGTGTGTGTGTGTGTGTGTGTGTGTGTGTGAGAATCTGGCCTCCCTAGGGAGGCTGCAGGCTACTTCCTGGGTGGGCTTAAGAGTTAGACTCCTAATCACTACATCCTTTTGTTCTTGTGTTGGGTGGCACCAGTCACCTGCTTAACCTCTGAGCCTGTGGCAGGGCTCAGGTGGTTGGTGCCCCGTTAGTTGTCCATCTCCAGAGTGACGCCGGCCCCTCCGGTCTCCCCTTCACGCCTCCTGCGGTGTCAGCGCATCCGGCCTGTGGCTGCGACCTTGGCAGGTTTGCCTGTGGGGCCTGGGCCCCTCATGCCCTCACCCCCTGGTGTCTGTGTCCTGAGCCTCAGTTTCTTCATTTGCACACTGGGTGTAATATGAATGACACGCCTGTCAGGGTTGTCATGGGGACTGACAGCTGGTTCACGGCAGTGCCCAGCCCGGGGCCTGGCGCTGTGAGGGTGCAGCTGCTCGCACCGCAGCCTTAGTCCACCCCAGGGGTCGCCAGAGGTAGCCCCGCCTCGTCCCACTGGGCTCTGGCTCCGGAGTCTGAGCACTGGACTCGGTGCTCCTCTTCACTTGGCCTAGAGTCCTCCCCACCCTCCCCTTCCTGAGTGGGGCTCACCTCCCTGCTGAGACGGTGCCCGTCAGGAGCCTGGCACTGAGCGACAGCGAGTGGCAGCCGTGCTAACTTATTGGTGGTGACAGTCTCCTCCCAGTGTTCGGGGTGATGGGGACCTGGCATCGGAAGACTTGGATTCGTGTGGCTGAGGGTCACCTCTCTGGGCCTCAGTTTTCCCATCTGTAAATAGGGTCTGCCCTTCGAGGTGTGATGTTGCTGTCCACCCCGCCCACCCTGCCCTGGGAGCCACAGAGCTGCCGTTCAGCCTTTATTGACAGACAAGTTATCCAATACTACGCTTACATAGTCCCCGCGTCACCCGAACTCGGGTCTTCATTAACAACAGCTCAAACTTCGTAACGTGTGGGGGCGTGTCCCACAAAGCAGCCGGCAGAGCGGGGCAGACGGGCAGCACGGGGCTGTCTGAGGACTGAGATGGCTCTTCAAGACAGGGCTGAACCCCCGGCCTCCCCGGGGGCTGGCTGACCTTCTGGCTCATTGGAAAATTCTGGTTTGAGGATTGGGGAGCCCCCCGCCCCCGAAACATCTAGTTGCTCAAGCCACTAGCTGGGAGATCCCTTTCTCCTTTCTCCACGCCACACACCTGGCTCCCCTCCGCCCCAGCTGTCTACAGAACCCGCCACTGGGCAGGTCAGTAATTGGCAACAAGAGGGAAAAACCCACATTAAAATGGCCACAGGGCAATGAAATGGACAAGTTCCAATGAATACTCAGCATCGCAGCTTCGTCCCCCGGCACCCCCTCACTGCATGGGTTGAGCTTTCCAGCGTTCAGTTTGCTTTCTTCTGCTTGCTTTTGGGGCGTCTTAAATTCCAGACACAAAGTCCCCCCGCCCCCTCCTCTCGTTCAACCCAATTTGCCCTTAGGAAGCCCTGGTGACCCAAAAGTGTGCCCCCCACCTTCGTTCACGCGGGGAGATCGGAATCGTGACTGAACAGTTCGGAAACTATCTGGTCTCTACGTTTTCAAAACTGGATGTTTCACAGATCAAAAGTGCTTGTTCCTTCTACAGAGCAGCCCGGGCCGCAAGGGGATTAGGAGCCCGTTGGCGACGGGGTTCGCGGAGAGCTTTCAGGGGTCCTCAAACTTTTTAAACAGGGGCCAGTTCACTGTTCCTCAGACAGTTGGAGGGCCGGACTATAGTTTAAAAAAAAACTATGAACAAATTCCTATGCACACTGCACATATCTTATTTTGAAGTAAAAAACAAAACGGGAACAAATACAATATTTGTATTTGCATGTGGCCCGCGGGCCATAGTTTGAGGACCCCTGGTAGGTGTTAGGGTTGCCGGGATGCAGACAGGGACCCGGAGTCTCATTCCGGGGCTGCGGCTGGATTCGAAGAGGTGGCTCGATTGGGCTCCAATAAATATAAATAAATGTACGCGGGGTCACAGTGCCTGGCGTGGCCCGGGAATCTGCTCTATGGGCTTCTAGGAGACTACAGGAGGAGTGGGCCTGGAGGCCGGGGGGAGGGGGTTGGTGGGGGCTCCCATTTCCGAGTTCAGCCTCTCACAGTCCAAGAGAAGTCAGGTTGCCACCCTGGGCCTCAGGGCCTGTCCACTAGAGGCTGTGGCAGATGGTTCATCCAAGGAGAATAAATTAAAGGGCCTTCCTTCCCACCAGGGTGTTTCTGGGATGCAGCGAGGCGTCCCCAATGGGCTGCACGGTCATGGACGGGGCCCGGTGGAAGTCCGGCTGGAGGCCTCGCATCTCCGGTCCCAGGAGCATCAGGGAGGGAGGAGGTCAGGATGCTTGTCCACTCTCTTCTGTCCTCCTGACCTGGGAGGCCCCACAGGCTTCCTGTGGAGGTGTGTTGGGGGGCCAGGGGGTGCCAGCAGCCCCTAGAGGCTCAGCTCCCTATGGGAGCAGGAGGAGCACTGGTTTGGGGCAGGCGAGGCCATCAGCTCACAGGAAGCGTGTCCCGGCTGAAGCCCTCGTCCTTCATCTCCTCCCAGAGGTTCCCTTCCAAAGACAAAGGCGTTCAGTGAGTTGGCTCATGTCAGACCTGAGTTCCAATTCCCTCTTAGGGAGGGGCTGGGACCACATGTGGGATTTAAAGTGCCGTGTTGTCGGAGAAACCCCCAGAGGAGCCGGAGTCCCAGCCCCAGCCCTGACCTCCCCACGGGCACCCCTGGGAACGTCACTTCCTCCTAGAGCAGCGGTTCTTACACTGTCCGGGGCCGAGTAGGCCGTGTACAGCCCCGTCACCTGCAAGTCCGGGAAGGACTGATCGCTGCTGCCAGAGACGGGGGTCAGGCCCAAGCCCCCCGGCTCGCAGCCGAGGGGGGAGTCTCCGAAGGCCCCCAGCGTGTCCAGGCTGAAGCCCTCGTCCTTCATCTCCTCCCAGAGGTTCCCTTCCGAAGACAAAGGCGTTCAGTGAGTTGGCTCATGTCAGACCTGAGTTCCAATTCCCTCTTAGGGGGTGGGGGCGGGACCACGTGTGGGATTTAAAGTGCCGTGTTGTCAGAGAAACACCCGGAGGAGCCGGAGTCCCAGCCCGACCCTCACCTCCCCACGGGCACCCCTGGGAATGTCACTTCCTCCTAGAGCCTCGGCTCCCCCAGATGAAACGGAGGCATCTGAGAACCCACCCCCTAAACCAGGGAGGCGTGGAAGCACTCAGCCCTCGTTCAGGGGTACCATCCTGGTCAAAGCCGGAGGACAAAACAGCAGTTCCCTTCCTTCATCATTTAACACACAAGCATCCGGGGGGAAGCAGGGAGGCTCCGACACCCCCGTTTCCCAGCTCCAACTAACGCACTAGCTTGCTGGCTGACTACGCTGCTCACTTGTCCATTTTCCTCGCTAGACATGCCTGGAGGGCAGAGGCTATGGACAAGCTGCACATAGTAGGTACGCGGGCCATAGTGAGTGGATGGATCATGAGCCTTCACTGAAACCTGACCTTCTCTTGTTCGTTCGTTCGTTCATTCATTCACTCACTCACTCATTCATTCCCATGCATGGAGGATGGCCGTGTGCCAGGCAGCGGGTCAGTGTGACCGGCCTGAGGTTGGCACATGCAGGCTGCAGCAGCTACTGATGGGACGTTTGGGGTTGAAATCCTGGCTCTGCCACTGACTAGCCAGGTGACCCCGGGCCTTCTCTTTGCCTCAGTGTCCTCGCTGGTGGAATGGGCTCTGAAGAGGCCTCCCAGGCCTGCTTGTTGTGGGGTGAGGGGGAGGCTGCCTGTGAACAGCTGGGCCAGGCCTGGTGTACAGTAAGCACCATGACGTGCTTGGTGTAACGTGCTGTTCCCAGGTGGTTGGAAGTGTTGGCTGAAGGAATGAGCTGGGGGTGAATGCAGACAGCCCTCCTCTGTCTTCCTGCCCCGCCCCCCTCTCACCTTCTCCCCTGCCCCACTTCCCATCACCCACTCCTCCAGCCTCACCCTGCAGAGCAAAGTCCATGATGCTGGGGTCCAGGGCATCCACCTCGGGGTTCATGTCGGTGCTGATGTTGATGAAGTCCACGGGAGCTCTGCCCACGGCCGGGTGGGGCAGGGGGCTGGGGCTGAGGTCCGGCAGGGCATGCAGGGGTGGGGTCTGGGCTGGGGCAGGGGAGTCTGGGGCCAGGTGTGCCTGGGGCTGGAGCTGGTGGTGCAGGGAGCGACTGC